AATTTCCCTCCAAACCCCCCCCCCCCCCCCCAAACAAAGGAACCATCGCCACGCCTCCTGGCAACCATTGATACAACTGTCAACTCAAATCAAGGCCAAAAGGTAGCATTCTGTACAAATTTTTGCATGGTATCAAATTTGATATTCCGATTACACGTGGTGAAGTTTGAAATTTCAGTACCGTATGCAAATAACAAGCATGAATTCCTATTGAATTTTATTTTACACGGTTAATTAACTTCCTTTAAATTTTTTTTCAACTATTTATGTTGATGTAATGAGAACGATATACCACAAACCTTTTTTGACTTTAAGGCTTTGAGTAAGAAAGAAGAATACGTGACAACATACCATTTCTTATCCACATACGTAGAGTTCTATACTCAAATATATCGTACGTATTTATCTATGTATTGATAAGACAAAAGATACCCACATTAGCGTAATCATATACATATGAATTACATTTGCGCAATATTTCAGTTTAACCCCCAAATGGTATAGACCACGTATGGAGGGAGAAATATTATCATATAGTTTAGAGAGTGCACAACCCAACCTGCCAAAGGCTGGATACTGAACTATTTTTTTTCTTTTTTTTTTTCCTAATATATAAGCCAGGGCGTTAAGCTTAAGAAGAGTCGGAGGTGGTTCCATTGCTTCGAAAAGATAAATTCCACGTTCCTTAGAAGTTAAATCCAGACTATTATAGCTTTCCAAAACACTGTAATTTAAGACACGTTGGTTCATTAATTATGACTCCTGCATTTAGTTGATTTTAATTTTATCCTTAGAAGTTGCTTTGAAACAACTTTTTTTCAATTTAATTCTTCATTTTTTTTTACTATTGGTTCATTTTCTATCAAATTTAGTATACATATTTGCTATGATTAAATTAAAGTTGTAAAATATATATTTGATTTTACCTAAAAGATGGATTTTATGTACTTGGCATATAGATCGATCAAGGAGTTATTTTTTTGTCTATTAACTAGTTACTAGTTACTACGCCTCAAGCCAAGGCGTGAGGGTACCCATGGACAGTTTAAAATTTGCCAAAATCCGTATAAAAGCAAACCACAAACATACAACTCAAGTAGTTGTAGATAGACCAAAGTATATATTAGTTACATTAAGCCAGTATTTGCTTTAGGTCTCAGGAATTAGAGGATGTGAGTTCTAATGCCCTTATTCCGTCCCCACCTTTTAAATTCCACCACTCCTTTGCTAGGAAAACATTTTTTTTAAAAAAAAAAACTAGCATTTGCTTTGCATATGAATTAGTCTTGTAAAGTTATACAAAGAACTGCTGTGAAAATCACAAATATCAATATTAATAGTGGAACCAATTTACTCAACTACAAAGCAAAAGTTAAGCTGATTAAGGACTCTAAGAATGATGCGCGTCCATCTAATATATTGCACAAGCCTTTTGTGGGAATGATTCGAACTCTTATTCCAATGATTCTAATACACTTTAACACCATATGATTTAGCGATTTTTCACGTAACTCTCTTGTAGTTTCAAAAGTTATTTATAATCTTCTCATAGTTTTCACTAAAATATCAAAGTAACGAAAATAATTCGCTGTCATAGAACCCACAAAAGTGTCGAAATTACTCTTATCTAAAAACTAAAAGGGAATTTCGCCAATTCGGTCCCTAAACATTTTCACTTAAATCAATTTCGTCCTTAATAAAATATTTTAACCAATTTAGTCCCTTAACTAGTTTTTTACTTTCAATGTAGGACTTTTACTCAATTTGCGTGGACCAATAGGGGTATAATTGTCACACTGGTTTAATCTTTTACAATTTACCGGCGAAACAGATTAGAGATCATTACGAGGAAGAGATCATTAGCAGACAAAACAGAGAAGAGAGCCTGATGTCAGCTAGTGCCTGCACCCTCACTTTTTTCCGGTTCCTTGGTCTTGCGAGGAAGAGATGGCACAAGTCGTCGGAGTAAATGGGATCAGTGGGTTCAAAAGAACAGTTTGAACAAGTAGGTGAATTGAGCCAGTTGCATAGAGGAGAAGTGCAGGGAAGCGGGTGGTAGCGGTACATACAAGAAGAGGGGTTGCTGCAGGTGCATTCCTCCTAATTGAAAGAGACAGTGAGGTCAACGAGTAGTTTTGTGGGCTGCTGGTAAGGGGTTCTCAAGTAAAGTGACAAAAAGTGAAGCTGAGTGGAAGGATCCTGGAGAATGGGAGCTAAAATAGCTGAAGAAGAAAGGTGAATGCACAGAAATGGAACGAAGAAGAACTGGAGCTTGAACTTAAAGAAGTGGCATTGCTTCTCTTGGGGATTGAATTCCATGGTATGGCGTGGAATGGGGCAGAGACAAATTTGCAGTGTAGGTGGAAAGAAAGAAGTATTAGCCAAATCTTTGGAGCCCGATGAACATGTAAGGAATTAAAAAAAAAAGCTCCTACCAGCAGGGTTTTGGCTAATTGTTCATGACATCCGTCCTGAGTCTTCAAGCATCATCCCTTTGAGACTCTTAGCTAACCAGATTGCTGTCTCCCTTGGAAAAGCCTTATATTTTCCGAAAGGTTTTAGAACAACAGCAAGCTCTTCTAGTCTATTATGCTGAAGCAAATCTGCAGACAATTCTAGGAGCCCTTCTAGTGCCTCTGCCCTCCGCCGGAAAGATTTGACATCCAAAGTTTCCTTTGCTGGTGTTGTTGGGGCTTCCTCCTCTGCTACAGGAGAATTCATTATTGCTGGTTCTGAAGAATCTAACTTTGGAGCTGGAGTGAAGTGATTGGTCGGAGCTTTCACGTCCACTTCTTTAGTGTTTGCATTATCTGAGAGGTTTGATTTTAAACTCAGAGCCTCAGAGCAACTAGGAGATTTTGGTGCAGTGGCTAGGTTTTTAATATCAACATCATCTATCACCACATTTATTAGCTTCCCCACATCTAAGTTTCTATCCAGTGTATCAATCACTAGTTGATCACTTCCAACTCGGAAGCTGCTATGCCGAATGGCGTGAATCACATCATCAAAAGTTGGTGGAAGATGATTACCAGTTGTTTTTTCGATAATGACATTTTGCTGAGCCGTTCCCATATCTGACAGCAAATTTTTTTGGCTGGATGGCACAGGATAGATACCAAGAGTAGTGCTCTCAGGTACCGAAAGTTGAAGTTCCTCAGATAAAACATCAATTTCTTCATCAGTGGGATCAAATTTACATCCAACAGGGACTTCAATACGGGCTCTTTTTCCTCCACTATCGTCATTTCCACGGGCTGAAGCTGCTGATGGTTTCTCCATTTTTAGCAAGCCACGCAGTCGGCCGAATTGCAAGTAATGGCCGATAGGGCTTTTCTTTCCTTTCCCTTTCCAAGCCTCTCGAAGAACAGAAAGGTAGTAACTATAGAATAGTAACCCAAGCAGTTGCAGGCACTGGTTGGCTCAGGAACCTTTAAATCCTTCTTCTCCAATCAGGCCGTAGGAGATACTTTAGTGTGTCAAGAATCAAGACCACCTGCATGTTGTAATCTTTCACGTTGATGATTTCAATGGACTTGAGAGCTTAAAACTTTACTAGCTTCTTTTCCTCATCTAGCTCCTCAATTATCTCCTTTGCAGATCTCTGTTTTTCATTTTTTTCTTTACATTTTTTTTCTCCAATTTCTATGAGCCCCTCATGGGATCTTGTGTCTCCACTAAGGAAGCATCAGCTCCAGCCTCGATGTAACGATGAGCACGATAAATTGCATCCGAGAGACCGTGTGCTTCTGATGTAGCACGTGCATCTCCAAGAAGAACCAGTGCTCTTTGCAAATAGAATTGAGAAATTGTGATGAGTCCTAATGTCTTCAAATCCAGATGCCGTCCCTTTTTTGTAATCATTTCTAATCTGTTTCGCCGGTAAATTGTAAAAGATTAAACCAGTATGACAATTATACCCCCGTTGGTCCACGTAAATTGAGTAAAAGTCCTACATTGGAAATAAAAAACTAGTTGAAGGACTAAATTGGTTAAAATATTTCATTAAGGACGAAATTGATTTAAGTGAAAATGTTTAGGGACCAAATTGGCGAAATTCCCAAACTAAAATAACTAAAGTGATCAAAATATATTAACGTAATATGCATGACACTTTAATCCCTTATGATTTAGTATTTTACTATATAACCCCTTTATGATTTAGTACTTTACCAAATAAACCCTTTATAATTTTCAAAATATATACATAATTCCCTTTGATTAATAAATAATTTTCAACTTTACATAGATGTATCTTTGACATTTTAGTTGATTCCATTAAAGAATGTAAATTCCGACACTTTAATCGAAATAATTAGGAAGTCATGCATAGATTTTGAAATTACAGGGGGTTATGTGGAAAAGGCGTAAAACCATAAGGGATAAAGTGTAATTTACAGAATGTAATTCATGTCGACTGATCTGTAACGAGCCTAACTTTCTCGTTCTTCTGATATATATCTAGAAACAAAAAGGAGCATGAAATTTTGTTATCTAGATCAGTTTTAATTGTAATACTTCCACAAAAATGACTGTGGAAGCAATTAGTTTACACATAAGAACAAGACTTGGGGAGGATTCAGTCATCAATTGATCAAACCGAACTCGGCTGATTCAAAGAAATCAAATCTTTAGAGAACAGATCAAAGGAAAATAAAGGAAAAGATTAATAGAGAAAAGTAATACATAAAGAATTAGAAAAAAAAAAAATTAACCCAAGGTATGTTTCATTCATCCGCTTCATCTCGATTTTGTAAAGGGCATAAGACTTCATGTTGTTATTCAGCAAAAGGGGAGGGAAAATGAAACATTAAGCCAAAGTGAAACCAACCTAACTTCGACATATTTACCAATATGTTAAAAATTTCTAACAGTCCAGTACTTTAAGTTCTCAGCTGCAACCAAAGAAAATAACTTCTCGTTTAAGCAAATACTAAATGGCGTGGCATTTTACTGGTTGAATTACCAGCTGCAGAATCGACTTGGGTTTGTAATCTTACTTAACTATGTCGAGTATAACTCTTGGAGGCTTTGAATTCTTCAGCATGCATCCACTTGATACATGCCCACTTATCACCTCTGATCACTGGGCGACCACCTGTAGTAAAGCACAAATAGAATCATAATTCTCTGTACTCTGGAGCAGTGAATTTGAGTAAGCACATAAATGAAGAATGACAAATATGTAAGAGAGCAAATATTTTCCAACTGACATTATGACTTGATACAGGGTATCTTTTCCATTGGTTGAGTACAGACTTTAATACTCCCTCCGTCCCATTCATTTGATTATATTTGGGGAATCCAACTTTTCAAGAATAGTGGTTGATTGTGATGTTTGTACTTCTCTTTCCAATTTTACCCCCTCAAATTCAAATTTTAAATTTGAATGTATGATTAAAAAAAGGGTTATATTAGAAAGAAAGTGTAAAAGTTACTTTGACTTTTCTAACATGACCAAATAAATGGGAATCCCAAAATGAAAAGTATAACCAAATGAATGGGACGGAGGGAGTAGAAGTTTATATCTTTGAGGGGGCATCTATGCAAAATTAAAGTGATAGCAAGTATCAACATGCAAAATTAAAAAAATAAAACAGATGATGCAAATAATCGTCTAAAGCTCAGAATTAACACATTAAAGCACCTTTTTATTAGTGTATGCACAAACTTCAAAAAATAAAATAAAATAAAATAAACTCCCCAAACTATTGAGTTTGTGCTTGTAGTAATCATTTTTTTATCAAAAATTTTATCAAAGTGCTCATACGTACAAGTTATTATTGGATTTCTACAAATTATCCAGGAAAAAAGTAATATTTTTTTAACACCCATATTTTATTTTGGTCTATAAGGGCACATTGATAAATTAGTAGGGCAACAATAAGGTTTTTTTTTAACTATTAATTCTATGACTAGAATAAAAATTTTCCTTTCCTCACTGGAGACACATTCCCCTATTAACCGATAAGTAGATTCATCACTGTTATGGATTATGTTTCACATGCACCATCTCACAAACGTTAGTATTCCCATAGAAAGTTCTCCATCCAATAGCATTACTAGTTATGTATTGGCCAGATCAATATTTGGCACAAAAGAGGGAGAGAACTGGTAAAGAGGTGGGGGAAATTCAGTGGAAAGGCATGTAAAGTGAAGGGGCATGTTTACCATGTAAGCTTGATGGATCCACAGTTGTTCGATCAGGCTTCAAGGTCCAGAAAAACAATGCATCCCCCATTTTTGGTTTCACATAAAGCCCCCTTCTTTTTGTGCATCCTGGAAAACAGCAACACTTCCTCTTAGCGATAGCATTGGGAAAATACGTCTCTCCACCTTCTTCAACATCCGATCTGCACATGCAAGTGTGACAGAAAACGAATGCAAACATTTTATCGATCAAAGGCGGCGAAAAGTTTTTTTTTTTTTTTGAAAAAAAAAATTGAACTTGGGAGAGGTGGAATTTAAACTTAGGAACTCGAATTCTTCATATTTCAACCTTAGTTATTAGACTAAGATCTTTTATAAAGATATATAATTAGATAATCCAACTCGTGAACAAAAATACTTGCATAACTTACAGATACATCAAAAGAGTAGCCATACGGTGGACATCGTGGTGAGGCTCGAACTTTTGTCCGACTTCATAATTGATAACGGAAAGACCTTCTCCATTCTCTGTAAAAAGTTTAGCTCATTCAGAAACCCTTAACCAGCCAAAAATAAAATAAAATAGAGAAAGGAATCTCATATAGAATGTTCAGACTAAAGATCAAAATTCCTTAATTTCACACTATGGAGTGCATGTGGAAGTAAATATACAAAAGAAGACTCAGAGTAACCTCAAAATACTAGGTTTTGTTGTTTTTTGATAACAAAGTTTTAGGAAATTACAAACATGTTAGGGTTACCAAATTTTTTTGTTTTATGAACACATTTACGCTAAAAGTTGCTATAGGATAAATATGTTTTTGGATTGAAGATTATTTGGTAATTCTTTTGAAATTGATTACTGATAGATATATGTGGTGAAAAAAGATAGTTGAAAAGATAAAAAAAAAAAAAAATTGGCTGAAAAATGTTTGTAAGGAGTAATACCGAAATGTTTTTCCACAAAATTGATTTCCAAATAAACCAAGCGTTTTCTTAAGAAAACAAAACCCCAAAAAACAACTATCCAAACTACTGTTACTATGTTTTTATTAAACCATCTATGCCTTGTATAATACTAATTCCATCGAGACTTGAGCATACCTAAAAGATAATATTGTATGTATGTGTGTGTGTATGTGTGTGTGTAGAAAGAAAAGACAGAGAGATATGTTTTGTTAAACTAGCAGCAAGGAATTGTAGCTATCTAGCCAAGGATTAGAAATAGGTATTCATACCCACGGGAATTGATGTGTAATCTGCTATCCTTCTCTCAATGTCCCTAACGACTTCATCATGACCCCTTTTCAAATGCATGCCAGTACTTGTGCGCGAGCTGCCATAAGACATGATTACTACGATACCATAGCAAGAAATTCTGAAAATTGGAGAAATTGTTGAAGCAAGAAATTCTGAAATTAAAAAAATCGAAGAATAAGAACTAGCCAAACTTTACATTCAAAAGTAAAAATTTTTAATTGTCTCTCTCTGTTGAGAAATTTCTTGAATGAGATTTAACTTTATTTGAAACATTTCATATGCAGTACTCTAAAATTTTGAAAAAAGTGAAGAAACTTGAATAAAATGAATCTTTAAAAACTTAACTGTCATTAGGGGAAAAAAAGGACAAAAAGAAAACCACAGGATCAAATGAGCATTGAAAGTGAATGTGTAAGACATTAAGGAAAATTTTGGCATTACAAACCTGCTATGTCCAGTCTGACCAGTATTTGGGTCTAGCACTTTTGATCTCGACATACGAGGTTTGGCTAGATTTATAAGATATTCACATTCTTCCTTAGACTGTTAAATTGCAAACAGGGTCAATGCACTTGAAAAAGAAACCCAATTCATAATTTTATTATAGCAGGTTTTCTCTTATATACCAAATAATTACAGAAAATGAATACACCAAATAATTCTCAGAATTTAGGCTTTAAAGTATTTCCCTCAAAAAAATATAGTACATGGAAAACCACAATCCTGATAACTTTTTGTTCTGGTGATGATAAGAAATAGTTTTTAAAAATAATAATTTGCATTAATTTCTTCAAGAAAGGAGTTGCACTATCGCACCAAAAGGTTAAAGTGACGGTTATAATAAGATTATCTATTGATTGAGAAAACAGGTTAACTTTGGGTTGTAGATTAATGGTTCTATAGTTCTGATTATGATGCTTTTATCGTAGGGCCCTGTAGGAGCAAAAATGGACGAAATTAAGAAACGCCAGCACCAATGAACATACTCAAGAAATTTTGGTTACATAAGTATAAAACTACTTGTGCCTCGACTAGTAGGGAATATTGAACAAACCTAAATTAAGATCTTTTCTTTGAAGTCAATTATACTAATAAATTGATTTTTATTACATTATCATCGCAACAAGAGTTAACAAAAAACAAATAACAATCAAACAGGGAGTTAAAGTTCACTTTATATTTCAGCATACTATTTTCAATTAATTTGAGGCAGAAAAAGGTCGTGCCCCGGAAAATAAAGAAAATCATAAAAGAAATAGTACCAAAAAATTGTGAAAAATGGAAGCCCTAGGCTCTGAAGAAAGCACCTCAGTCCATTGTTTGCGCCTTTGCCCCAACCCTCCTCCCTCAACGCTGCATATATCATTGTAAAACGAAACATAAAAAATCACTTATAACTGAAGAAACATTAATTCAAATGATAAAAAAAACACACAGAGAAAGAAAACAAACATGTCTGAAAGCCCCGATGCAACCCAATGAGTACAAACAATTTCACAATGATGCACAAAGATATATCAAATTTAAGCACAATAAAGAAAACTTAATTAAAGAGAAAAGATAAGAAATGCAAACCAAATATCAATCCAATAGCCTCTTCAATAGATGGCGATGCTAACCAAGATGTACATGTGAAGGCTCACTCCTTCCTCACCCCAAACACACTTTGGTTGAGCCAAGGAGTTTTACAACTATTCTAGTTAACCCTCAACAACCTACACTTGAAAGATCACTCACCCAAAAAAGAACTATTTTATACAAATGAGGCAACCTTCACCAAGGTTTTACCACTCCAAGTGATAAGTTCACCTTCACCAAGGTTTTACTCCTCCTAGAGAGTAACCTTCACTTGAGCAACCTCACAACCCAACTTCCCCAACCCCTTATACAACCAACAAAGAATCTTTCTACTCAAAAATCTCACTTGTAAGCTTGTATTTTGTGTTGGCAAAAGTCCCTTGTCTTCTTGTGCTTTGGGGTATTTATAGAAGGTGAGAAATGGCTTCAAAAGGCTCTCTAACGGTCAAATATTAAATGCTGTCAAAACTAGCCGTTGGCCTGTCGGACATCCGAACCACCTGTCGAACGTCCGAACCCTGCGTCCAAACCACCTGTTGGACGTCCGAACCCTGCGTCCGAACGTTGACAGAGAGTCATCAAATCTTTGCGAAATTTCTCGGACGTCCGATGCGATCGATGTGCGTCCGAGGCGTGCGTCCGATTCTTCCGGACGTCCGATGCTTCCTCACGAGCGTCCGACAGAGTTTCCTTCTTGATGTTCTTCATCTTTTCGGACGTCCGATGCTTCCTTTCGGACGTCCCACATGAGTGCCCTGTTTTTGCTTCTTCTTTTGTGCCACAAGAATCTGTTCTAACAATTTGCTCACATAAAAACATTAGCCCAAATCTACATTTTGGTTTGTTAATCATCAAAACTAAGGATTGATCGACCAAGGTCAACAATGTCAACAGCCATGCGGTTGAACTTAATGTGGTAATTTACTGGACAGGGGCCGTCGTGTGAGTGATGTTGATTTCTGCAGAGAGAAGATAAATTTGATAAAATTTAACAACTCAAATTTCGAAAATATTAACAATTATTATAACTTATTTATAGAGCAAGACATGTTAATTGAAGAGTTGAAGTTACCAAAGTTAATATCACCCTCAAATTTAGGAGCGAAAGAGGAAGCAAATTTGTAGATACTAAAATGGAGCTTGACTGCACAATAGCTTGTTTGAAGTTAGTTTACTAATAAGGAAAACAAGTTTAAACAAGAGCAACACATTTTAATTGAAGAAGTTACCATAGTTATATCACCTTCCAATTTAGGAGTGAAAGATACCAAACTTGGGGAGAATACCGTTGGCTATTTATAAGGTATGTTATAAATTACCAATTCCACAGGTTCTCTAGCTTTTTTTTTTCTTAATGCAACTTGTTAAAAATTTTGAAATTTAGAGAGGTTCTTAACTTTCAATATTGCAAAAAATTGAATTGCCAAATCTAGAAATGAAAAATTATTATCCGCACTAGTAACTTCCCTGTTGAATTGTAATAAAACCATTCAGCAATGTAAAGAGATCTTTTAGCTAGGCAATTTCTTATTATCAAGTAAAAAAGTTTCAAACCATTTCCATTTAGTATACTCTACGGTTACAGATAGTACAATTATGGTATTGCACAAGTACAATATAGCCTCTTGATGTACATTAACAGTGATAGTGTATACACTGTTAGTGTTTAATTTTTTTGGCATCTTTTGTTAGTAATGAATGTTTGAAATATTAAAAGATGGATTAATCTTTCCTACACTAATAGTGTATATACTGTCAATTTTGAATGAATGACAACCATGCAAAATTTGAATTTGAAATCCAACTTTTGCACATGTATCATAAATTTAACAATGATAATGTGGACATTGTTAGTGTATATAAAATCTACCTTTAAAAGATAGGATTAATCTTTCCTACACTTGATAAATGATAATGATGCAAAATTTGAACTTGAAATTCAATTTTTGCATGTGTTATGGATCCAACGGTGATAGTATATGCACTGTCAGTGTATATAAGATTTATTCTAAAAATATCCCGTTTTATAGGTACTAGTTATTGAACTGCTAAAATCAATGACTTAAAATATATTATCCCGTGTGGTACGTTGCATGTTAAGTGCTAGTACTCTTGTGCTGTTTGAAAATACAAACGGGTCTAAAAAAAATTACTGCTCAAAAATTCTTAAAAAATTATTTTTTGAGAATTATCATTTCGTAGGAAAGAAGAATAACTAAAAAAATCACGTCAACATTACATCTATACTAGCGAACCTAATTAAACATTTCACTTGTAGTATTGATCATTTTTTTTTTAAACCAAGATGCTTGGATTTTATTGCCTCAGAACAGTTCTTGAGGGGGACAGAAGCCTGACCTCAACGATACAAGATAAGTACAAGACACCTACTTACTTTACTCGACGTCGCCGAATAGACGGGTAGGATAGTTTATCCAACCGATATTCACCCCTAACTACACTTGGTAAGTCCCTGAAATGTTCATAAATACATACCGATTCAACCAAGGCACACCCCACATTGGCTAGAACATCCGCAACCTTATTGGCCTCGCGATAGCAATGCTTGAACTATATACTCCCCTGAGAGAACTCGCAACACTGCTCGATCTCATAGCTAATCGTCCATGGGCATTGGTAATCGTTCCTCAAAATCTTTATTAGCACTAGCGAATCCGACTCAACCACCAACTGATGTAAAAAATTCCTCTGGGCACATAAACTCAGCCCAAGCGCTAATGCTTTGGCCTCGGCCTGCAAGCTAGTAGCAACATCAAAGCAATCAGCGAAAGCGAAGATGAACTTTCCTGAGCCATCCCTAAGAATCCCCCCACCACCACTCAACCCCGAGTTTCCTTTGGAGCACCCATCTATGTTAAGTTTAAACATTGACAGCCGTGGAGCCTGCCAATGAACCAGACGAAACTTAACCACATCAAGGCGTTGCTCTACCAAACCCAAGAATTGGGGTCAAGATGTGACCTGTTGTAATTTCCCAAATTTCATCCAGTATGCGTCTTTCAAGTTTTGAAAAATAGATCGACAAATAGATCAGACATCCTTGATAACCCCTTCAAACACTGCTGAATTCCTCGTCTTCCACAAATTCCAACACACAAATACGGGTAGGAGCCGAAAGACAAATTTTAGCCTCGCGGACTTAGTAGGCTTGTACCACCAATTCGCCAACTGTACGGTTAAATGCTCCTGCGCTAAGTTAAGACCAGAGAGAGATATGAGAGGCCCAAAAAACTTCCAAACTACCTTTGCGACATCACCCGACATGAAGACGTGCTGTAGCGTTTCAACACTAGGCTCCAAACAGCAAAAGCATTTAGATAGTAAGTGAAAACAATATCGGGTTAAAATATCATCCAAAGGCAATCGTCCCCGCAACAAACACATCATGAAGAAGGAAATTTTTAGAGGGATGTGCGGATGCCAAACCTGACTAAACATGAAGGATGAGGGTTTAGCCTGTCGCACCTCTTGGAGGGCCGAGGATAATGAGAAACTCCCAGAAGATGACGCCGTCCATACCATTCTGTGCACCGAAGAAATACAAGGGATCGGTATGCCCACCACAGCCTAGACTAAATCAGGCGGAAGGACATGAGACAACAAGCGGCTATCCCATGTCCCGCATACAATAAAGTCATGGAAGGACAAATGATCCTACACATCCGCTCGAAGATATAATGCACCTGAGCCCTGTACAGCTATGAGCTCAGAAGAAAAGACAAGCAAAGTAGCAGAGATGGAGCAGTAGAAACTCTGGTAACTAGAGGACGCTCACAAAATCAGAGAAAGGGGACGAGAGGTAGATCCAAGTCGAGAGCCAGACTAAGCAAAGATGAGTGTGCCTTTTGCAGAGAGAAAGGGCACTGGAAGAAGGACTGCCCAAAACTGAAGGGTAGACCTGACAAAGAAAAAGCTGTTGCGGATTCAAATGTAGCTGAGTACATTGATCAAGACTCAGACTTTTCATTAGCTATCATGCCTACTGGTCATTCTAGTGCATGGCTATTGGACTCAGGTTGTAGTCATCATATGACGTCCAATAGGGAATGGTTCTTTGATTTCAAGGAACAAGAAGGTGGTGTCGTCTACACGGCAGATGAGACCACATTAGCAACAAATGGGGTTGGTTCAATTCGGCTGAGGAATCAGGATGGATCAATTAGGATTCTAACTGATGTCCGATATGTGCCAGAATTGAAAAAGAACCTCATTTCTGTGGGAGTACTAGAATCAATGGGTTACTAGGTGTCGGCATATAATGGAGTGATGAAAATCATTTCAGATGCATTGATGTTGGTGAAAGGAATCCGAAAAAATAATAACTTGTATTACTATCAAGGTAATGCAGTGGTTGGAGTAGCGGCAGTGGCTTCCAGTGATGATCGAGAATTGAAAGTAACCAGATTATGGCATATGCGCTTAGGGCATGCCGGAGAAAAATCCTTGAATTTTCTGATGAATCAAGGACTGTTGAAAGGAGCCAGTGTTTGCAAGTTAGATTTTTGCGAGCATTGTGTCAAAGGGAAGCAGACAAGGGTAAAATTTGGCACTGCAATTCACGATACCAAGGGTATTTTGGATTACGTGCACTCTGATGTGTGGGGACCTTCCAAAACAACTTCTCTGGGAGGAAAAAATTATTTTGTTACATTTGTCGATGACTTCTCTCGAAGAGTATGGGTGTATACTATGAAGGCGAAAAGTGAAGTATTAGGAATTTTCATCAAGTGGAAAAAGATGGTGGAAACTCAAACAGAAAGAAAAATCAAACGCCTTCGAACAGACAACGAAGGTGAATACACTAGTGATCCGTTCATGGAAGTCTGTGAAAATGAAGGCATTGTTCGGCACTTCATAGTCAGAGATACACCACAGCAAAATGGGGTGGCAGAGCGTATGAACCGGATATTGGTGGAGAAAGTTCGGTGTATGTTGTCCAATGCTAGGTTGGGCAGACAATTTTGGGCTGAGGCTTTAGCATATGCAAATCACCTCGTTAATCGCTTACCATCAACTGCTATTGGCGGCAAAACGCCATTAGAGAAATGGTCGGGAAAACATGTTACAGATTATGATTCCTTACATGTGTTTGGTTCTACTGCATATTATCATGTTAAAGAATCAAAGTTGGATCCAAGGGCGGAGAAGACGCTCTTTATGGGGATCACGACAGGCATTAAAGGTTATCGCCTTTGGTGTCCCGAGACGAAGAAGATAGTTTTCAGTAGGGATGTCACCTTTGATAAATCTACCATGTTAACAAAGGTAGATGTACAACAGAATGATGGTACTCCCCAACAGGTGGAGAGTACTCCTAAGCAGGTGGAGTTTGAAAGAAGCATTATCAGACCAGCAGTGGATATAGGAGCAGATGAAAGGACTCTTGTGGTAGAAAAAGAATCAACTGAAGAAGATGTTCCAGTTGAAGAACTTCCACAGCAACATGAATCAATTGCAACCAGTAGGCCAAAGAGGACAATCAGAAAACCTGCTCGTTTTGCTGATATAGTGGCCTATGCATCCCCAACCATAAATGATGATATTCCTGCCACTTTCAATGAAGCAGCTCAAAGTTCGGATAAAGAAAAGTGGAGGATTGCAATGGATGAAGAAGTACATTCCCTTCATAAGAATCAAACATGGAGGCTAACCAGTCTTCCAAAGGGAAAGAATGCAATTGGATGCAAATGGGTATGTGCAAAGAAGGAAGAATTTCCTGACAAGTCTGGTGTTCGCTATAAAGCAAGATTGGTGGCTAAAGGCTACGCTCAGAAGGAGGGAATTGATTACAACAAAGTGTTTTCTCCAGTCGTGAAACATTCCTCCATCAGAATTTTATTGGCTTTGGTAGCACAATTGGATCTGGAAATTGTCCAAGATGTAAAAACTGCGTTTTTACAAGGTGACTTGGAAGAGGAAATCTACATGACTCAGCCAGAAGGATTCAAAGTTGCTGGTAAAGAAAAGATGGTGTGCAAGCTTGACAAATCATTGTATGGATTGAAGCAGTCTCCAAGGCAGTGGTACAAGCGATTTGACAAGTTTATGATGGGGTAGAGGTACACAAGAAGTAAATATGATGACTGTGTATATTTGCGCAAGTTACGAGATGGATCCTACATATATCTTCTTCTTTATGTTGATGATATGTTGATAGCTTCGAAGGATCAAGGTGAGATTGAAAAATTGAAATCTCAGTTGAGTCGAGAGTTTGAAATGAAGGATCTCGGCAAAGTCAAGAAAATTCTCGGCATGAAGATAAGCAGAGATAGAAGATTTGGGAGGCTTTATTTGACTCAGAAAGAGTATCTTAGTAAAGTATTAAATAGGTTTGGCATGAATGAAAAGACCAAACCTGTTAGTGCTCCACTTACTCCTCATTTCAAGTTCAGTGCATCATTATCTCCAAAGAATGATGCAGAACGAGAATATATGGCAAAGGTACCATATGCAAATGCAGTGAGTAACTTAATGTATGCTATGGTTTCATGAATCTAATATGTTGTAGATGCAGAAAAAATGCCACTCAAATTGTTAATAAAAATAATGTTGTTGTAAAATTTGCCTATAAATTGATAGTATACATAAAAAACCTAGATTACCCATTGCCTAAACATCCCCCGCCCCCGCCGCACCCTGCTCAAGGGAAAAGAGTTTAGGGCAAAAAACCGCGGTGGTTCTCAAACTTTCTACTTTGCGCACTTTTAGTCCTCCAACTAATAAGTACGTAAATGTAGTCCTCTAATTAATAAAAATGTGTAGTTGTAGTCCTTCCGTCCAATTTGACTGTTAAAACAGACGGGAAACACATCACACATTGCTCACATGACATTTATTTTTGGGATAATTACAAAAAACTCCCTAGAGGTTTCTTAAAATTTCACTCAGCCCCCTTGATGTTTGGAAAATTACACCTACTTCCCTCGATTTGATAGTTTTAGTAACAAAATCTTAAAATAATATTGATTTGGTCAAATTTTTAAATGAATTTCCAAAAATACCCTTGTGCAATGAGTTTTAATTTACTTCCCTATACAACTATAAGATTATCTAGTATAATTATAATAAAAATGTGCCAAATTTTTCATATTCGTACCTACTATTGATAAACGGCAATAATAATAATTTTATCATTATGATAGGATACTTTTGATGGTATTTTATTATGGATTTAAATTTATAAGATAGAAAAGAAAATGTTGAAATAATTCATTTAGTGCTTATGAATTTTTCAAATAGTTGGATTATCATAATTTAATAGTGATTTTGAACCATTTTCTTTTGATTTATTGTTAATTTTAATACCAAAAAATAGAAAATAAAGATCAGCAAAAACATTGGATTGCATATAAAGTTAACTCATCAAAAAAATCATTAATTGGACATTTGATTGCAATAGAAACTAGAGATAATAGTGATAGTTTTACAGTTTTATTGGCAAAAAATTTTTAAAAAAAGGAATAAGAAGGAAAAAGAATAAAAAATAATTTTAAAAGTCATTCTAAATATAAACATACCAAACAAGGAAATTTCATTAAATATTCAAGGGTAGTATTGTCATTTTAAACAATAAGAGAAGTATGTGTAATTTTTAAAACATCAAGGGAGCTAAATGAAATTGTTAAAAACCTCAAGGGAGGTTTCTAAAATTATCCCTTTATTTTTTGTATCATTTTTGTATCTTCCCATCCATCTTAACAGTCAAATTAGACGGAAGGACTATGACTACACATTTTTATTAATTGAAGGACTACATTTACGCACTTATTAGTTGGAGGACTAAAAGTGTGCAAAGTTGAAAGTTTGAGGACCACTGCGGTTTTTTGTCCAAGAGTTTATAATAAATAAAAAATATGTAATTAATAACAAATGCAATTAGTAAGTTAATATAAACGTATAATTAGTAAAAAATGTAATTATTAATTTAGTATAAATGTATTAGTACACTTAATCAATGATTTATATTAGTATAAATATATAATTATTAGTATAACTAAAAATATAATTATTATAACTATTAATATTAAATATGTTATACATGTATTTATAATATACATATATTTATTTATTTACTTATTTATTTATTTATTTCAAGGAGGGAGAGGAGTGGGCGTGGGGTAGGGGTATACCCTCTGTCCCCCTCCGTTTTTTTTGACGGGGAGTGAAAATTACCCCCCGCCCCACCAACCCCTTACGAGCACTTGTCTCAATTGCCATCCCTATACCTAGTATGTAGATAAACACAACAAATGAAAATCCTAAAC